CAGCTGTCAGCCCCAGGGTGGCAATGCGGTGCTAAGTCTGCAGTGAAAAGTAATATTGATGAATATCCCTTTTCACATTGTCTCCCTCACTCGCTGCTGGCATGGTGCTGCCTTCAAAGCTGGGCTCCCGGACAGCAGCTGCTGCTCTCTGCTCTGCCTTCAGAACTGGGTGGCGGTATATGTACTTTTGGGGGGTGGGGAGTGAACAACTACAGACACAAAGAAAAGGGGACTTGTCAAATAAATTGAGAACCACTGACCTAAGACCATCTGACTGTTGTGTTGCAGATCACAGAAAAAATATGAAGGAGATGGCAAGAAATAAAATCTCTTATAAACAAAAAACAAGAAATATTATACATCAATCAGCAGTCAGGGAGGCTGCCTTTACTATCCGACTTACTATATGTTGCATACATCATTTTAGACTTGGCAACATACATTACTGGATTCCAATCTAAAGTTTTTTTCATGATTAAACCTAATGTTTAATTCATCTTTCTGGTCGGGGTGGGGAACCTCTGGCCCATGGGCTGAAATTTAATGGGCTTAATTTAATCAGGCCCACAGCAAGTCTCCACACCACGGGCCGGAAGCCCCACAGCTCCTGGGCGCAGGGGCAATCAGGGAAGCTCCACGCGCTGCGCCCGTCCCAGCTCCACAGCTCCCATCCCAGCACCGGCTCCACAGCTCCCTGGCCAGCCCTCCACCTAGGGGTCAGACATGCCAGCTGCTTCTGGGAGCGGTGCGGGGCCAGAGCAAGCAGGGAGCCTGCCTTAGCCCCACTGCGCCACCAACTGAGAGCCGCCGCAAGTAAGCACCACCTGGCCGGAGCCCACATCCTGAACCCCCTCCTGCACCTCAACTCCCTGCCCCAGGTCAGAACCCCCTCCCACACCCTAACTCCCTCCCAGACCCCACACCCCACTCGCATCCCAACCCCCTGCCCCAGCCCTAAGTCTCCTCCTGCACTCTAAACCCCTTGGCCCTAGCCCAGAGCCCCCTCCTGCACACCAAACTCCTCCTCTCCACCCCCACCCCAGAGCCTGCACCCCCAGATGGAACTCACCCCCTTCTGTACCCCAACCCCTGCTCCAGCCCAGAGCCCACTCCCATACCCTTAACCCCTCATTTCTGGCCCCATCCTGGAGCCTAGAGGAATCCCCTAGCCTCCACGCCCCCCATCCCCATGGGGCTGTGTGTGGCCTGTGACTGATTTTTTCTGTGGGTCAGTGGCCCCTGATAGAAAAAAGGTTCCACACCCCTGTTCTAGACCTTTTTAGAGGAAAAAGCTTTTTTATGTTTTATGCTGATTCACTGAAGTATTACAGCCATTATCAGAGCTGTTCCCACATCCCAAGCCTAAAACCAGAAAAATGGGGAACCAAGGCTGTAAAAATTCCATATTCAATCTTTAATCCTTTAATTCCCAAGAGCCATTAAAGCAGTGCATTTTGTATATGGTTACAAAGAATTCAAGAGTGAAGGTGCATTGATGTTCAGAATGCATCTTTAGTTATAACATTTTCACCATCTTCAGAGGGCCAGGAAACGTCATTTCTTATCTCAAATGAGGACCTTGCCAACAATCCACATATTAGTCATGTGCAGACAAAGCTACTGACTGCCACCAAGAAGATGAGGCATGCAACATGAAGCAGATCTCCTACTCCCAACAAAGGCAGCCATGAACACAGCACATCAGTACTCTATCAGGCCCACTGGCTGTCTCTCTCTTTCCAAATGAAATTTGAGCAGCTACTCCTGGTCTACAGGGCAGTAAGCATTCTGGGTCTAAGCTCATTCAGAATGTGCACCTAATCATAAGAGTCCAATGCAGCTACACTCCACAGGGACACTTCAGCTAAACTGGCCAGCATACTACTCTTCAGTACAAGGGGCAGACTAGCAGAGTGTTTTCAGTGGCTGGCCACAGCTATCGTCACACTATCAAGGGAGATTAGATTGAGTATGAGCTTGTGTTCAGTTCCAACTACAAATCCACCTCTTTAATAAGCCTTCCCTCAGTAATGGCATCATCTGAGCACCAACACACAAATCAGAAGGGAGGAAGTAGGAGACTAGAAGAAAAGAATAAAGGAGAAAAACAATACACTGAACAAGAGAAGCTGTGAGAATATGGTCATTTGAAGCACGTTTGGTGCTATCTTTATTTGTTGTAAAATACCTAGATATGGTAATAGGTAACTATAGCTTAGATAATGCTAAAGTGAGTTTTCAAAAGATATCATAGTTTACTTACTTTTTCATATTTAAAAATTGAGGGGGGCGTGCAAGAATCCTTAAATTCACCAAATTATACAGGGCCAAACTGTGCCTTTCATCCTTCAATGCCTATTTAGGGACCAGGAACAATTGCAGTCCTTGCACTTGTGTGAGTGCAATGATTGCTTCTGGCTTGTACCACCCAACTGGGATAGAGAGAAGATGAGGCTGTAGCTCCACTCTGCCCTCCTACCCCCTTTGAGTGATGCAACCCAGGTAGAATGACTGACACTTCTAGTCCTGCAGTCACAGAGGAGTGTATGTTACATCCACTAAAAATGGCATAGTTTCTGTGCTTGTTGGGAGTAGGCACAATGCCTTCTGGAGTTCCTACTGCAGAGGTATATCTGGGCAATATTACAACGCAAGGGCACAACTCGTGTTCATCATATGTTAAATCAGCTATAGAGTCCCCCCGTTCTTCCCCCTCCCCACGCTGTATTTATGCAAAACATATTCAAGGTAGAATTTCAGCCTTAAATCCAAATTTTCCTCTTTTTTGGGATGGGTTAAATCAGACCCTTAGTATATATGTGCATAAAATATCTATTTACAAATTATTGACTCAGTGCAACGGGTTTATAATATGGATACTGCATATGGGTTGGATTCTCAGCTGCATCTGAGCTGCACTCAAGCACAGTGGTGGTGGTGAGGCTGTCATGGAGCCGGTTGAGACTCATTGATCCTGAATCATGTGCGTATTGAATCGTATTGAATTTCAATAGGAGCTGAACACCTAGCTTTCTTAGGCTCCTTTGAAAATCCCAGCCTAAGTATTAATCAAAGCACTTTAAACTAAAGAAAAGATTACTTTAAAGTGAATTTTATGCCAGACTGCTCATTTTCTTTCCTTATTTATGTGTATCTCTGTATTTGGAAAATTTCCCCCAAAAGGGGACAATGTAGTGTCTCTCATTACCTAGGAATATACTTTGAAAATTAGTTACTTAGGTTTTAAGAATGGGATGAAGAAGTCTATTCTCTTCCCTTCCAGACAGGATTTACATTTTGAATATAAAAATGCATACAAGGATACAGAACAGAACTTAAAGTATAACAGGTTTTGTGCTTATTAGGGTGTCTTTCACATGGCACATTGTCTGCTAAAACCGTGTTGCAGATGCCTCATTAAAAAACCCTGCTGAATGCAGTGGAGATGGGAAAAAAACCATCATGACTTCAGTCCATTTGCAGTCAAGGTCAAATAGAGAGCTGCAAGTCCGACGCCTTATGTTTTTTAAAACTCCCTCCCCAAGTCCTCCCTGCACACACACTACTGCGGCGCATACTTGAGGTGAAAGTTTCAGCATTTCAACAGTTAGTCAGCTTCATGTTTTCACAACACAAGGAGTATTATAACACTGCTCATTCTTTCAGGTTGACTTGAACACTTGACCTTACATGTAAACTCCTTTCCTATGGTGCAAAGCTAAACATTGTAATTTTAGCTAAATCAGCTTTTGGTTTATCAACCATGACAAAACAAAGAGCTGGCAATTAAACATTTCAGGGCATATTTAACCTTTACCCTTCCTTGAAGGAGTAGGGCAGCTTGTGTTAAAGACAAACAGAGGGCTACAATTACATGGGTTTTACCGTGCATGGATTTGGAAATTCAGAAAGTTTCTGGTCACTGAATTTCTCCCCCAGTTCAGCAGTTGGAGCGCTATTTGTTCCACCCATGGAAATGACAGTGGGTCCAGGCTCTGAAATCCATGGAAATCCCACAAATGTCAGGATGCTTCCAGGGGGCAGTTTTGCCTTGATACCCTTCCAAACCGATGTCAGCCTGCAGTGCCTCTTGGAGAACCTGAGGGTTGCAGCCAGGAAGAATTAAGTATTGTTCTAAGCAGCAGTGACATGTGGGTGGGTTTTCAAATAGATTATCCACCACATCCAAGGAAAGGAAGCCAAATCCAGTGTCTGCATCCAGACTTCTCTCCGTTCCACTCACTCCCAGCCATGGAGTCTCAATGCCGTGAAGGAGTGGCCATGAAATGTGGAGGTCAGGGAAAGAATGCAGCAGAGCCATGGGATTGGCCCCTCGTTTGGTGCATTTTGCTACCGTTTGCTCCACACAGTGGAAGGTAGCAGGTGACTTGGTATTAGAAGCCATATTTGTATCCAGGTTCACTTATGCTAGTTATTCCCTTACTCGTCAAACAACAGGAATGTAGCAGTAAATCAAAGGTAGAGAATTTTTGGAATTGCTGGTTGAGTTACTTACCTTTATATAGCTTAGATTTTTCTCTTACTCCATTCTGTTTAGATAGGCATTTACCTAAAAAACCCAAACTAACCTGACAATAAAGGCACAATAAATTACAATTCCTATGAAAAAGGCCAAAGGAGAAGCTTGTTAGATTTTAGTGACGGAATGAGCAAATTAGTGGATGAAGATAATACAGCAAATATACTACACAAAGTTGAAAACTAGCTAATAGATCATAACTAAAGGGTTATGATATATTGCAAGTTATCAACCTGGGAAATATCGAGTCAGTTGCTGCAGAGTGCTGGCTACATTCTAGATTTATTTACTGTCTTAATCAGTGCTTTGCAATTAAAGTAAACAACATGTTAATTAACTTTAAATTTTAATGATTAATATTAAACAGAGCATTTGAGATTCAGTGAGAACAGAGAAATACAAAGGGGCCTATTTCTGGTAATTCTGGGGGACTAATAATCACCTTCTACTTTATTTGCAGATTAGAAACACTAAAGACAGAGAAGAGTTCCTTATGGTGGTATAAGAAGATTTCATGGGAAGTAACAGGATCAAATGAAGAAAAGGAAAAATTTCCGGAGAGAGAGAGAGAGAGAAAGTAGGCTGCAGAATGGGACAATTAAACTAGTCTGGACAAAGCAATAAAAATGCAATAAAGAGACCAAATATGCACTGACAGGTGAATGGATTAATTTCTGTGATTCACTGATCCTCCTTCATTCTGCGACTGGAAAAAGTCACGGAATCACTCGTCTGCATTATCTGCTACCTCCCATAGAACATGACAATTATAGCAGAAAAAAAAATATAATTCAAAAGACAGCATTCAAAATTATAAATGTCCTTTTTTCTGAATAATTTATGTTTACATAAAAAGCCATATTAACCTGGGACCAGCTCTCAATACCTTTTTCCTGGTCTGAAGCATGTTTGCCATGAATATGCACAGAAGGGGCACTGAGAGTGGATCTCTCCTTATTGGCATCATCATTGTGCTCCATTTCTCCAAATCCCCAAAACTTGCAGGTAAATAGAGCTGGGCATTGTACAAATATAACTCATTTTGAATACTAATAAGCAGTCTCAGGGCAACCCAGCCAATGGGCAGGAGTTTTGGTGCCACAGATAGGGGCACAGGAAGCAGAACAACGGGGAGGCAGGAGTTGTCCGCATGGTGGTTTTTACATTTATGGATCTCTTGGGCTTCCTACCCTATAAATCCCCTGGCTATACGGACTTGGAGGGGGGGTCTTATCCTTTGCCTACTCTGCAGTCCCCCAAATCCCTCTTTTTGAGGTGAAGATTGGGAGAAAATTCTGCAGGAGGGACTTCACTGATATTTCCTGCCTCCTTGATCATTTCCCACAGTTTTTCCAGGCTGTAACAGTATGTTTTGTTTGGTTTTTCCTTACATTTACATTTTATGAAAGCATTAAAGGGCCAAAACCTCAAAGATGGGCATCCTTTACATGAAGCCCACTGCAACAAACGTTAGTATGGCCTTCCCCATGGACTGAGCCTCTCAGTGAGTACAGTTTCCTCTTTACTTTTCAATGGGAGGAATTGCACCAGTTTTTAGAGTGGTTGACAATACAGTGAAATACTGGCCCAACTGAAATTAATGGGAGTTTTGCCATTGATTTCAATAGATCCAGATTTCACCTTGGGTGTAATTTCTTCTTGTGTATCTGAATTCAGAGAAATTCCTGGGAATAAAATATGTACAAAGTCTAGATCATTGTAAACAGAGCAGTTACAAATGTATATCCAAGGGGAGATCTGAACACTGCTACAGCCTAACACTAATAGCAGCGATGAACATTACAGTGGTAGAAGCTTCCACTAGGTCATTGGGTATGGTATTATGTGAGAATGTTCTGATCTAGTCCCAAACGGGGGAGAGTTCCAGATAGTGTATCCACTTGATGCATCAAACATCCAATCCTGAAATCTTGCACTTCCAGTTTTTCTGCAGAGAATTTCCAGTCTATAGGGTGAATTCCATTAAATTGCACTGAGTTCTACTAAAAAATCACATTCTTCCTACAGGATAGGTAGGACATTAAAGCTCCCAGACAGTAAATAAAAGTAGGAATGTAAACAACATATTGCCAAATAGTCTGAAGCTCAGCTGAATGTATTACTTCTTTTTAACAATAATATCATCTGTTTAAAGAACAATGACTGACAGGGAGGACATTTTTGGCAGTTAATGATGAGTTGGCAGAGGTGAGATCATGAAGTGGAGTCTGTTATTATAAACCTTTGGAAGTGTAAAAGAATTATAAAGAAGAAAATTAAATAATTATCTTTTAATGGGCTGGAAAGTTGAACAGTCGTCATTGTTATGGATACAGCATTCTGTTTACAGCACTGTATTTTCCTAGCAGTTAATAACCACTCCAGTCACCAGTAGGAAATGACTTAATTCTGATCAGTTTAACATTGATTAGTAAATTAATACATATTTTACAATGCCCAAAGAGTGCACAGTGCTTTATGTGATCAACCAAAGAACAAGTCTCCTGATCTAACAGGGCACGGTGTCACTCCTGTCTTCTTCCCTTCAGAAACTGCACCCACTCCAACAGGTGTGCACTCACTGACATTTTATTTCAAGTTTTCTCCACCAATATCACTACAGTCCCCATGCAACAGTCTATTTACAATATCTACAGTGCTTGTCACTCTCATCAGGCAGGACCTAAGGGAAACAGAACTCTTCTTTCTCTGAGGCATCTACACTCCCCCTTCTCCCTGGCACTTCCTTTTTTGTGCCTCTTTATCAGATATGGGCTCATGGGCTAATTGGTTCTTTATGCCTACCAGCCTGATTAGATAATTACCCCAATCAGCTTCCTCTGGGGAACTAAATAGCATCTAAGTGATCAGAGTGCACTCACTGCACTCTGTGACACCTGGTTTACAGAGCTCTCAAAGTTAAATTTTATATATGACATGGTGCTGATCTAGAGTCATAAGGTGATGGGGCGAGGAAGGATGAGGATGAAGGATACATTACAAAAAAAAGGAAAGAAAAGGACACTGACCTTTGACTGGATTTAAAAAAGAAAACTTAAAAAAAACCCCTCTCTGTTATGATGTATTTATTTGATCTCAATGATTTCTAATTTAAAGAAGTATTATCCAAAGTTTTGAAATTATTTTTTTTTTTGCATGGAACATGGATAAGGGTTGAGCATCTTGTAGTAATTTCTCCTAGGGAATACAATAGTTCATGCTACAAAAAGTGGCCTTAGAGTATAATTATGCTCCAAAAGTCTTTAAAAATGTCTTCCTGTGGCCCCATGTTTTTTGCATCCGATGAAGTGAGCTGTAGCTCACGAAAGCTTATGCTCAAATAAATCGGTTAGTCTCTAAGGTGCCACAAGTACTCCTGTCATAAATATAAAGGGAAGGGTAAACCCCTTTAAAATCCCTCCTGGCCAGAGGAAAAATCCTCTCACCTGTAAAGGGTTAAGAAGCTAAAGGTAACCTCGCTGGCACCTGACCAAAATGACCAATGAGGAGACAAGATACTTTCAAAAGCTGGGAGGAGGGAGACAAACAAAGGGTCTGTGTCTGTCTGTATGCTGCTTTTGCCGGGGATAGAACAGGAATGGAGTCTTAGAACTTTTAGTAAGTAATCTAGCTAGGTATGTGTTAGATTATGATTTCTTTAAATGGCTGAGAAAAGAACTGTGCTGAATAGAATGACTATTCCCGTCTGTGTGTCTTTTTTGTAACTTAAGGTTTTGCCTAGAGGGATTCTCTATGTTTTTGAATCTAATTACCCTGTAAGGTATATACCATCCTGATTTTACAGAGGTGATTCCTTTACTTCTCTTAAAAGTCTTCTTGTAAGAAAACTGAATGCTTTTTCATTGTTCTAAGATCCAAGGGTTTGGGTCTGTGGTCACCTATGCAAATTAGTGAGGATTTTTACCAAACCTTCCCCAGGAAGTGGGGTGCAAGGGTTGGGAGGATTCTAGGGGGAAAGACATGTCCAAACTACGTTTCCCAGTAAACCCAGTTAAAGTTTGGTGGTGGCAGTGGAAATTCCAAGGGCAAAGGGTAAAATTAATTTGTACCTTGGGGAAGTTTTAACCTGAGCTGGTAAAAGTAAGCTTAGGAGGTTTTCATGCAGGTCCCCACATCTGTACCCTAGAGTTCAGAGTGGGGGAGGACCCTTGACAACTCCTTTTCTTTTTGCAAATACAGACTAACATGGCTGCTACTCTGAAACCTTTTGTTTCTCAGTTACTCCAGATCAAAGTTTCTCATTTTGCAAGAAAACTATATGCCTTTTCTAACTGCCAGCCCTGTAAACTTAGTCTGGAATCTAAAAGTCAAGCTGGGCTCCTTCTAGTCCAAGGATCATTCCTGTTAAAGCTTTTGCAAGTGGAACTTTGCTACAATTCTGTTGATGATTCACGACTCATGATTCATATAAAAGACCAGCTCATTCTCCAATGGCTCTATCTTCTGCAGGACTAACATGTGTAAAACATAGTAAAAAGGTATTTTTTTCAAGGTGAGCAGATATGACTTGCAATACATAGGGAGAAATTCTGTCATGGAAAAAGATGACATTTTTACATAGTTTCTTTGCCTGCCATAAAAAAAAGACATTAGTCCCTTTTTCTACCTCATTTTATGGTTTCATTGCCTGCTACAAGCCCAAGCTACAGATACACATAATGTTTATAATATCAGTTTACAATACTTGTAATGTGGATGTCTGGCTTATTGGAGTCTGTGGAATCATAAGGGTCTTGAAAGATTTTTGAGTGGAATTTCTATAGAACTACATAAATATTTTATGCAGCATTTAAAATTCCTGGAATTTGTATATGTTTGCCAAACAGACATCTTTCTATAATGTTTACAGTAGAACATACAACATGCTGTAGCAGATTACATTTAATGTACATGGCCAAACCCTTGTCAGATAGAAAAGAGAAAAAGCTACATTTCACAACTATGATTTCATTGCAGTTATGAACAGTATTTCAATAAGGCTAATATGAAACCTTCTGGATGACACAAGAGCTGTTAAAAATAGCTGACACCCAAACCACATCATTTTTCCTCGACAGATGATATTTAGAGTACTGTCCTCTTAAAAGATCTGGGAGCTGCTAATCTCACCTCACTGAAGTTATGGTAGTGATGTTTGAAGATCTGTGGAGCAGGAAGTATTCTATCCATGAACTTATGAAGATTGCAGAGTTTTCACTGAAAGATAACTATGAGCATAAAGAATGTTCATATACATCTGTTTAATTGCAAAATTAGTTTTTAACTATGAAAACTGGTGGTCATCTTTGGTCCACATTCTGCAAACACTTACACACATGACCAACTTTATGCACATGAGAAGTTCCTTGGGAACTCAGCTGGACCATTAATGTGCACTAATGCTTGCAGAATTGGGGCTTTTGTAGGATTGTTTTTATAGGATTGAGTTCAGTGTGGGTACTTGTGGAATAAGGTGGCACTCCGCCTGAATCAGAGGATCAGAAACTCACAAACTGTAAGGGATTTTATTCATGTTTGGTTATAATATGTTCACGTCATTATAGGTAACAGTTTGAATATGTATTGTTAAATACATTTGCTGTTTATCACTGAGACCTCATTTTGAATAATGGACACCACCTTGTTTGCGTCAAA